GGGTGTGTGATAAAGGCTCACCGGTAGGCTTGCACGGATGCGATTTCGATGTCCGTGGGCAGGGAGGACTTCAGGAGCTGCTTGACACTCAAGTAATCCCTGTTAACACGCACAGAGAGAGAGAGAGAGCAGCCAGTTGTGTGGGTGGCGGGGTGAGTGTGGCTGGCTGACCAGCCGAGCGGTTTGTTGACGAGAATGGCGCAGAGCCGGTCGCGAATGTGCGTGTCGGAGACGTCCCTCACGGCCACTTTCTTCGGCCACACCAACACACGATCACCGTTAGAAGACACTGACCCACACACACACACCCACAACACATCCACATGTCACGTCCACACACACAGACACTCTCTCTCTCTCTCACACACACACACATGCATTCAGCTGACCTTTTGGCGATGAGCCGCTCTTCTTGTTGTCGTCTTTGTCTTCGTCTTTGTCTGCCAGCGCCTTTGCCGTCTGCTCAGTGCCATTGCCGTTGTCGATGAGCTTGGCGATCTCTCGGTGCTCCTGCTCCTCGCCCTCCTCCCTGGAGTGTCTGCACGCGTAACTCTCTTGAGACGAGCCGGCACCGTTGCCACTGTGCCGCTGGCTGAGCTCGCCCTCCTCGCGCTGTGACGGCGGCCTGCACACACGCATCAACACACACACACACAGACGCTCAGACAATGACGGTTTGTGTGTGGGGGTGGGTGCGTGGAGGCAGCTCACGTGGCCTGGACGGTGTCCGGGTCGGTGTAGGGCTCTATGACTATGAAGGGGGGGAACTTCCGATTGCGGTGTCGCAACTCCTCGTCTGGCAGATACAGCACCCGCAGGGCCAGCAGACGGTGCCGCGAGACTTCGTCCTCGCACAGTGTCGACGCACGAACAGGACCTGTTTGTTCACACAGGCACAGACACACCTCTGTGTGTGTGTTTGATGCTCATGGTGTCTGTCCCTCACTGACTTTCTTTGACGGTCTGGCGGATGCGTGGCGGGACGAAGCCGTACTGTCTGCGCAGCTGAGTGAAGTAGTCCTCCATGAAACGGTCCACCTGATACGCATTCCTGACCACCACACACACCAACGACACACACACAACAACAATGGGCTTGCCTTTGGTTCCTGTCTTCCTCCGCCGTGTGCCGTGAGTACCACGTATCGGGAATGTTCTTGATCGTCACGCACAGCCGCTGTTTGTTCACCGTGTCCAGTCTGGCCAAAGTCACCTTGGAGTCAATCGCAAACACGGGGGCTGACACGCACAGCACACAGCACACACACAACATAGGCCATATCGAGAGCCGTCTGCGCACACCAGACCACGACTGCATGGCTCACATACGTACCTCGCACCATGGCCGGCACGGCGAACCTGGGCGGCATGAGGTCGCGCCAGTCCTTGGCCACCTTGCCCCCCGCCCCACTCCCCTCCACCCACCCCTCCACTCGCAGAAACGCCCCCATCCCGTCAGCCCTGTTGGCGTCTTCCCACTCGCTCGGCAGAGGGATGTGCTTGAACGACAGCAGTCGGTCGCGGGACTTGTCGTCGTGACACGCTATCAGGGCTGTTGTGGCGGTTGTTGTGTTAGCGGCGGTGCTGGTCTCACTGTTGGGTGTGTCTGTGGGGGTGGTGGTGGGTTTGGGTGTGGCGACCGACGCGATGATGGGTGGGGGGAGGCCGCTCTCGCACAGGAAGCGGTAGAAGTAGTCGCGGAGGTATATGCGCAGGGAATCGGCGTCCCTGATATACACCAACAGACAAAGAGGGAGGGAGGGGGAGAGTGCGGGTGCGTGCGGTTGGGTGGGGACGGACGGGCCTGGCGGAGCATACCATTTCTTGGGGGTGTTCTTGACCCTGACAACGAGTGTGCTCCTGAGGAGCTCGTCAGACACGTCATCGACAGACCTCCCAATCGGCCACGTCACTGCACCCACCCAACACACACACACACACCACACACATGGCATGGGGCACGTGTGTGTGGAATGGAAATGGTGTCTTGACTGACCATTGACGCGGCAATACTCGAGGTAGGTGTAGAGCTGCTCCGAGTCAGTGCGAAGGGCCTCGGCACAGTTGGAGCTCTCGAACAAACACACCTTGCTCTCCCTGCAGAACGCACCCACCACACTAGGCACCATGACACACGAGTGGTGACCAAGATCCCTCCCTTCCTCAGCTGGCTCTCCCTCGCCCACCGTGACTGGCCCCTGTAGGGGGCGAACTGCATGCTGTCGCCGTTGTTGTCGCCGAGGCGGGCGATCGAGGAATCTTTGTCACGGTCCACAATGTCCTCGATATCCTGACGCACAAACACACACACACACGGGCAGAGGACGGTACACATCCATCCATCGGTCTGGTTGCTGCTCGCAGACCTTGATGGGGATCTCTCCGACAGAGAGCAAATAGTTGCGGGCCTGCTCGTCGAAACAGCCGACAGTGCCTATCGGGTTGTACTTGGTGCACCTGCAGGACACACACAAAATCGCACACGACACGCCACAGACATACACACCTCAAGGACCATCCCCTCCCCTGTGTGTGAGAGATCGTGTGCCATGTGTGTGTGTGTGTGTGTGTGCACTGCAGGGCCGCTATGCTCACCAGGAGGCACATATCTTGGGCACGGGCACACCGGTCTGCGGCGAGATGGCGGCGAAGTACTTCTCCAAAAACTCGCGCAGCTCATCGTCACCCCTGTGGACCACAGACAGACATTGCCATTGCACACACCACAACCACACGCACCAAAGCGTGAGTATGTGTGTGTGGTTGTGTGCGTTAGCGTTGGTCTGACCATTTCTGTGGTGTGTAGCGGACAAACACGCCCAGCCGGGCACAGACCTCATCGCCCGCCGCCCGAACACTTATATTCTCCGGCCACGTCCACACTGCAGAATTCACAAACAGCAAGATAGCAGCAGTCATGTGTGGGTCAGCCACCCCACCCCTGCTTGTGCACCACTCCCCTCCCCCTCTAGTCAGTCGTCTGTGGTGTGTGTGTGCCTCTCCTCTCACCCCTTTTGCCATTCTGGCGCTTTCCGTCAGGGCGCTCTGCTGATTTGGCGTCCCGAGGGCTGACGGATTGGCTGCTTCTGCTGTCATTGCCTGGGTTGGACATGCTGATCCGCGCTGCTTTCAGACGACGAGGGGGGTGCTTTCCACCATCAACTGGTGCTCACAGTGCGAGCATCGCGGTGGCTCTGAAGTAAGGGGGGAGGCGGTTTCTCGAAACTGCCGCTCTTCGCACGCCGCAGGGGATCAGAATGGGTGGATTTGAGAAAGGAGCCCAACGAGTTCTGCGGGCTGAGCTCGCTTACCCTTTGACCCCGCGAACCCAGAGAGCCGACTCGTCGGGACTCTTCGATCCGCATTGCAAATAGCCCTCTTTCGTATCGCTGCTGGCAGCTTCACCAGTCATGGGCGTGTGCAGCTCTTCCCCGTGTGGCTGTGACAGAGAAACGGCCAAGAAAAACGAAGCCGACAGCTCAGGCGAGTACGTGCCGGGCGCTTCCAACCTCCTGCAGCCGCCCGGCATGCCCACGGGCGGCGAGGGGACCGCCCAGCTCTTCCCGGAATCGCAGCACGCCGCCACACTGCACCCTGCCGACGCCTCACCGATGGCGGCGGGCGGCGTGTCCCCCATGGCAGGAGGCATTTCGCCCGATAGCAGGGCGGCCATGAGTCAGCAGCAGGTGGTCTCAAGGGCAGAGGCCACGGCCGGCATGACGGTATGTGACGATAAAAAAAGAAGAAGCAGGAAGACTCCTCTGCAGTGATTTAATTTATGTGTGTCACACGTGATTGTGGACAGGTGAACTACTTTGAGAGAGAGGTGGCGGAGCTGCGAGCGATGGACAACAAGAACTCGTCGGTGGTCGAGAGCCACCCCGAGCACCGGTTCGCGACGGGGGCGACGTACGAGGGCCAGTGGCGCGGCAACCAGAGGCACGGGTTTGGGCGGATGGTGTGGGCTGACGGGGCTGAGTTTGAGGGCGAGTGGGCCGAGGACAAGGCCAACGGAATGGGCAAGTTCCTCCACTGGGATAAGGACGTCTATATCGGCCAATGGGAAAACAACGTGGTCAGTAGGGATAAGAGAGACACACGGGTCAAGAGGCAGGCAGGGAGGGGAGACGGGTGTGTGTCGTGTTTCCTATACGTGTGTGTGTGTACTGGTCTGTTTGTGCATATAGGCGTCCGGCAGCGGTCTGTACTACCACAAGAGCACCACCTGCTACATGGGCCAGTGGAAGCAGGACGTCCAGGCAAGACGACACGACAAAGAGAGAGAGAGACGGAGGGAGGGAGGAGACACACACACACACACACACCCCCATGGATGGATGGATGGATGGATGTGTGCAGGAGGGCTATGGCGTGGAGACATGGGGCGAGGGCTCCGTCTACGAGGGTAAAACACGACCCATACACAGAGATGCCAAGACCAAAAGAACCCTACACAAATGACCTGTACCCATACCTATGTCGATGCGATTTTTCCATGCATGTGTAAAGGCGAATTCCACGGAGGAAAGAAGGTCACACAATCGTCGCATTGACTGATTGACGCAATGTGCCACTCTCCATGTGTCTCGGTGTGTCGGTGTCTGTGTGTTGGTTGGCAGAATGGCTATGGCGTGTACCACTGGGCCGACGGCAGCTCCTACAAGGGCCAGTGGCGCGCCAACAAGATCAACGGCTACGGCGTCTATCAGGGCAAAGACGGCAGGCACTTCAAGGTAGGTGCCTATGGGACGGCCCCAAACACCGCGTCTATACACACCATTTCGCCCTCTCTGTGTGATGGCGTCAGGGCGAGTGGAAGGGCAGCGTCATGCACGGCACCGGCTTGTACCTCTGGGCCGACGGGCGCAGCTACGAGGGATCCTACTCGCAGGACAAAAAGGTCAGTGACAGCTGCCAGACAACACTCCAGAAACCACATGCGTGTCTCGGCCCGTCTGTCGATGCACAGGAGGGCTTTGGCATCTTCGTGTGGGCGGACGGCCGGCGATACGAGGGATACTGGAAGGACGGCAAGCAGGATGGCCAGGTACGTCGGCCTTCACACACGTACCAGCAGCACCAGTCGGCCCTTTGTATGCACGTGTGTGTGTGTGTGTGCGCGCAGGGCCGCTATTATCTGAAGAACGGTTCCTCTCGGTTGGCGCTGTGGTCTGAGGGCCGGCGCGTCAAGTGGCTGGGCGAGACGGAGGAGGCGGCAGCCTCACCCACACAGTGACCACCACCAGCAGGGAAGAGGCCGCGCGGCTGCGGCTCGTACGATCGTATGGATGAATGTGTGTGCAGTGCACACGGACGTGTCCATGCTTGCGTCAACGCCGTCAAGATAGCATGTGTGCGTGGCGTGATGAAGTCGTTCATGGCCGGCCATGGATGGACGCGTGTATACCAAATAACGATCGCTTGAGTGAGTGAGAATATCAAGAGAGTGCACGAATGAATCAACTGTGGACGGGTGCGTGTCCATCCATCCATCCATCCATCCATCCATCCCACACCTCTGTCGTTCTTGTTCCCTTCTCTAGGGAGGGAGCGGTTTCACGGAAGAGTTTTTCTTGCGGGCTTAGCGACTTGTCTCCCTCACTTGCCTCTCTGAGGCGCGACGTACATCCCCTTGTCGCTGTGCTTCGATAGAATGGCGTTTATGATCCACTCTGCCGCCCTCACCCTCCTATGCAGCCACCTGCCGCTCTGCAAGGCAAACAAGCTGGCGGAGCAGGTGGTGTTCCACCTCAACAGTCAGTCGGCCGCCGTCGACACCACAGATGTCGAGTGTTCTGACACAGACGCATCCCCAGAGCCTTCGGCGCCCCTCCCCCCCTCCCAGCAGCAGTGCGACGGCGACTCGTGCGCTCCGCAGCCCTCGCATGCTGACAACGACACCACCGTGACACACCCGGCGTTGCACGAGCGGCGGAGCGACCCCCCAGAGGCAACACGGACCTTCGACCGCCTGTGTGGGGTATATAGGAGGAGGACTGACCATGACCCAGGAATCGTCAAGGGTGACAGCGAGACGCAGACGACATCGGGGGAGTGGAGCGACAGAGAGGGGGAGAGAGAGAGGGAGAGGGAGAGGGAGGTGACGACGCTGACCTTTCCGCTGACGAGTGACAACGTGGCTGCGTTGGTTTTGCTGGGGGGTCTTTGTTTCCTGGGGTGCATCTACTTGTGGAAGCTCATGTGTGCGTGTGCGCGGCAGTGCAAGTGCAGGATGTGCACGGGGGCTTATAAGATGATTCATCAGGTACGCTCGTGTCTTTGTACAAATGGCCCATGCAGTGAGGGCATATCGACGTTTGTATGTCTGTCTGTCTGTCTGTCTGCATGTGATGTGTGTGGTGTGTTTGGTCGATCAGTTGGGTGGGGGTGGGTACGGTACGGTGTGGCTGACGGAGCGCGAGAGCGACGGCCACCTGTTCGTCATCAAGCGCATCCCTGTCGAGGACATCACCGAGGCCGACACCTACACCAACGAGGCCAAACGACTCATCTCACTCAGACACAAATACATCGTACGGTCACCGCACCGCTTTCACCGCACAAACACCCCTTCCCCCCTCCCACACACACACACACACACACACGCCCCCTCTGTATGTGTGTGTCTCATGTCATGTCATGCACAGGTTGCCTACGAGGAGGACTTCATTCACACGAGTTACACGTACGGGTCGTTCGAGCCGCACTTCACCTTTGTGATAGTGATGGAGTACTGCCCTGAGGGGGACATGAAGCAGAAGATCGAGAACGAGCACGGCGGATTCTGCGAGGACAGCGTAGGCTGACTGGCTGACACCACACACACACACACACACACATGTTGACAGGGCTTGGTGTGTGTCTGTGGTGTGGGTGTGTGATGGCCATCAATCAGATACTGAAGTGGTTTCACCAGGTGTGTCAGGCGGTGTACTACCTGCACGAGCGCAACGTCATACACAGGTCAGTCTGACAGGCACCAGCAGGACAACACACACACACACACAGAAACGGCGTCATATCCTTGTGTTTGTGTGTGTGTTGGTGCATGCAGAGATATCAAGAGCCAGAACATTTTCCTGACCGAGAACGGCGACATTCGGCTCGGTGAGCGAAGCGAGCGATCACCAATGGTGGATGACGCACTCGGCATGTGGTGTGATGTGACGCACTGTGTGTGTGGCCATAGGTGATTTTGGTTTGTCCCGCCCCACCCAGCGGCAGAGCATCGCAAACAAGAAAGGTACACTCTGCACACACATGAACGACCCGCATGGCGTGGAGTAATGTGTGACTGTGTGCGTCCATGTGCACTGCAGGCGGTCAGAAGAGCGCCATGACTCAGGCAGGGACCGAGTGCTACATGGCCCCCGAGATGCTGTCCTCCTCTCGATACGGCAAACCCGCTGACGTCTGGTCGCTCGGCTGTGTCCTACTCGAGATGTGCTCGGGTAGCGCGACCTCAGAGAGACCACATATGGGGATGGGGTGTTCAATCTCATCTCATTGTCTGGGTCTGTGTGTGGTGTGGTGCAGGCACCTTCATGTGGGAGTTGGACGGGCTGCTGGGCGCCCAGGTGATGCAGGAGGCCCGCTGCATCCACGAGATGGTCGACGCGCTCCCGCCCGCCATCAAGCCGTCGCTCAGGACACTCATCAAACGACTCCTGCACCCTGGTCGGTCAGCCACACATCACATCCCCCGACCAGAGAACCCCCACCCCACCAACCCACGCACCTCCATCTGTTGTCTCTCTGTGTATGCAGACCCCTCCCAGCGGCCCACATTGGCCGACCTCCTGCGGAAGAAGGTCTTCAAGCGCAACTACCGCGGCGCCCGCGAGACCATCGGCGGCTCGCCACCTGTCGGCCCGGGTGTGCGCGCCCCCGCCCACAACCAGCAGCTGGCCGACATCGCAGAGGAGAGCGACCAGGAGTTAGAGGGTGGCGAGGAGGACGATGCCACACCGTCACTGTGGATGAAGAACTGGGGGTCGCGGAGTGTGCATGAGGGGGAGTTTGGCCGTGGCGAGGAGGGGGAGGGGGAGAGCCCGTTGCAAGGCTGCAACAAGCTGCTGCCCAAGTTCTTCTCTGCCTACCAGGCATCGGTGAGTTAGTTCTACAGAGCACACAGACAGACAACAGCACATCCATCCATCCATCCGTCTGTGTCCATGTGTGTGCAGGAGCCTACTTCTGCGGGCACGGCTGAGGACGGCGGCAACACACAGCATGAGGGCGGCTCCGAGACCACCCGCACCCCCTCCCCCGCCACGCCATTCGCCTGGACCAACGACCGCAGAGGCGGCCCGCTGCCGCCGGTGCTCACGCCGGCCGACGGGGAGTTCCAGCTGCCGCCGCAGAGCACCACTGGCTCACGCAAGAAGCGAAACAGAGGTCAGTGATGAGAAACGGGTGGCTGCATGGATGGCTGACGGTCGTCGATAGATGGATGGATGGATGTGTGGATATGTGTGTGTGGGTGCAGGTGGTCGTAAGAACAAGTCTAAGGGCCGGGCGGGCAGGAACGCCTGAGTGAGCGGGGCGACCTGCCTGATGCACACAACCTCCTGTTGTGCGCCGCGAGTGGTTGAGTGAGAGGCTGATTGAGTGTTGGTGGGGTGGGGTGCGTCGGGGTGGGGTGGGGTGTGCTCAGTGCTCACTCCTGTATTTAACCAGGGGCGGGAAGGGTCTTGGTATCTTCATCTCCATCTCCCTCCCCCCCTCTCATGACTTTTCTGTCAAGTCTTTCCTGCCTGCCTGCCTGCCTCCCTGTGTGTGTTTGTGTCTGTGTGTGAGTGAGTGAATGGGGGCGACCTGCAAACATCGATATGCCCAGGTTGCCCCTGCCTCCTGCATCCGCACATGGACGCACGCACGCACGCCTTTTTCGCGGTCCGTCCCGTGGGTCGGCGGCGGTCCTTTTTTGCCAGTCATTGGTAGCCACGTATACACAGACAGATGAGTGCCTGCCTGGATTGCATGTGTGTGTGTGTGTGAGGGGATGGGTGTGAGAGTGACGGTAGTGACTCCTGGCAAGGAGAGAGGGTGCGGTATTGGTTGGTTGGTTGCGATTGGTCGGCTGACTGGCCCCTTTCTTTTCGCGCTTACCGTAGTCGATTCTTTCCCTGGCTGGACCCACTCACTCATTCATTCACTCACTGAGTGCTGCGCATGGTGCACCCATTCCTTCGCTGCCCCCACCGCAACAGCACCACATCAGTCTCCAAAACTGATGGTGCGCGCTGTTGTAGAGGTGGCAGGGATCGACGGGTGCATCATGAGCCACTCGTCTGTCAGATCACTGTGCGACCCGCTTTGGCCCTGTCTGATACAAAGTGTGGGATCGCACAGAATACACTCATTACAAAATGAGACTCGCTGCTCGGATCTCTGTGGTTGATTGACTGAATGGTTGGTGGTGGGCGGTTGGATTGACTGACTGACTGACTGACATGGTTTCCCGCGGCGGCAGAGGATTTGACCTGTCTTGACTGTGTCAGTGTCCCTCCCAGCCAAACCATGCCATGCCATGTGCACCATCCATCATAACGGTCAGTCAGGCCATCCATCCATCCATCCATGTCAACAAGTGTGCGATCGGCCAACCATAGCTAGTATCAACACGTCAGCCCAGCCACACCACACGCTTCTACACGTTCACAAGAGAAGCTAAGCTGTTCTGTCCGCCTTTCGCTCCCCCCTTATATATCCCATGTCTGCAACCTCTCTCTCGATGTCTAGCGCTCTCTTGTCCCGCCCGCCACCCCACCGGCTCTTCCCCTCCCAATGTGACCACGCATATCCGGCATCGCGAGGGAGGCACACACAGCACACACCACAGACACAGACACACAAACACACACACGCATCCACAGACATACAGAAAGATGGGCATCCAGGCGGTCAACTACGAATGAGTAAGCACACGTTGGGTGGACGAGACACAGTTCCATATCCATCGCTAGACTGTGTCTGTCTGTCTTGCCAGTCAGTCTGTGTGTGCGGTCGCTCGGGCGGGGGAGGCAGGCCAGTCAGCCCTGTTCGTCTATATCTCTCTCTCGCCCCCCCCCCCTCCTCTCCCCTCCCTCTCTCTCTGTGTACCTGTCATGTCTCTCTCCTCCGCAACACAACACAACACAGCACAACACAGCCAATGCAGCTAGATGTGCAAAAGAAGCCATCACAGAAAAAGAAAATCTTTAAGGGGGGAAAAGTAAGCGGGGAGACGTCATTCCATTGCATGCCATCACGCATGAGCCTTGGACAGCTCCGGCAGAGGACAAAGAGACGGCCAGACGGCCAGACGGCTATACCTTGGGAAGGTGAGCGAGTGAAAAGCAGCAGAGCAGCGCAGGGCAGCGCCTCCTCTCTTATCATATCTGTGTCGTGTGAGATTCGGCCCGCCCGCCTGCCTAGCAGCTGCCTGCACTCATCCATCCATCCATCCTTTCATTCATTCAGGTAGCTGCCTTCAACATCACAACGCGCCACACACACGAGCACACACATATGCACAGACTTCCCCTCCTCCCCTCCATCCCCTCCCTCCCTCCTTGCCTCCCTGCCTCTATCATATCAATCATAATGGTGTACTATCGAGATTCGCTATCTAGGACGACCGCTTGTGGCGGAAGTCGTACCGCGGTGTGGCGGGGGGATCGCTCAGCCGCGTCTTGCCCCGCTTCGACGGCGACGGCGTGCGGCACGACGCCCGTGCGCCGGCAGAGGGGGTGGCCGCGCCGAACTGGGGCGTCTTGGGGCCGTCGTCGGCACCATCACCACCCCCCATGCTCATGCGCATCACGCCGGCCCGCTGCTGGGTGAGCCGGCGGAGCTTCTTGAGCTGCCGCTGGGGCGTGGCGTCGCGCTCGCGGCCCCCCTCTCCCTCTCCCTCCTCCTCATCCCCGGCCACTACCACCTCGTCCGCCTCCACCTCACGTGTCTTGACCATCCCGCTACCCGTACCTTTTCCCTTGCTCTTGGCCTTCTTGCTCCGACCCTTGGCCACCTCGTCCACGCCTTCGATGTCCTCTGACAGGTCCATCGGGCACGGACCCTCGTCGTCCTCATCGGCACTACTGGCACTACTGGCCTTGTCGCCCACCTTGCGCTTGCCCCCGCCATTCTTGCGTGGGGGCGGCGATGCGGGCCGCATGCGGTTTTTGTTGTTGTTGTTGTTGTTGTTGTGGCGGCGGAGGCGGGGAGAGGGTGAGCGGCCGCGCTTGGGTGTGTGTGTGGATGCGACGGGGGTGCCTGGGGGAGTGCCGTTGGCCGGTGGGGGTGGCGGTGAGGGTGGGTTGATGATGCCGTCCATCGGGAGGTACTCGAAATCCTCCGGGAGCGATAGCTGCATTAAATTGGAGGGAGATGCACGGTGTGGGGTTGTGTTCTGGTGCGGTGTGTTGTGTGTGGCTACTTCTAGAATATCGTCCATGTCCCAGTTTTTGCGCTTGGTGGCCGGGTGGATGATCTCGTCGTACAGCGAACTCAACGTGTCCAACTCCTGATGGCCATTCCACACACACACACACACACACACACATATGTACCCAATGAGTGCACTGCCTTGAAGTGCGGCGTGTGTCTCTGTTCGTGTGTGTGTTGTGTTGTCTTGTATTCTGACCTTGGTCAACGTCGGCGGCTCTGGCAGCCCCGTGAACCGGACAAACCGCTTGGCCATCGCCCCTGACCCCTTGCCCCTGACACACACACACACACAAACAGAACACACACAAAGACACACACACACACACGCACAGAGAGGGTGCAGGTCAGGTGTTTGCACATGTTCGGCTCGTCCATGCCATGTGTGTGTGTGAAGGTAGGTACGTACCTGTATTTCTTGAGGGCGTCCATGTCATGTGGGGCGTCGCCAATGGTGATGGCCATGTCCAGGGGCCGCACCTTGCCGATCTCGCGCGCAAACGTGTATATCTGCACCCCACACACCACACCCAACAATACACACCACACAATGGACATACTCCCTCTCTCCCCCTCCCCCTCTGTGTGTGGTGTGGTGGGGTGTGGATGTGGTGGTCCGACCTTCCACAGGTCCGATCGGTCCGGGTAGTTTTTGGAGAAGGCCTCGCGCGACGACACTACTTGGACGGTGTTGTCCTCCATGACCTTCTGCAGCAGCGGCATGAAGCCGGACGACAACCTCACCCACGCCTGATACCCACAACGCAACAGTGCACACAATGGATGGATGGATGGATGGATGGATGGATGGTGTCTCTCTGTGTGTGTGTCTCTCTCTGTTCGGATGGCGCGTCATGCAGGGACGTACCGTCTCGCCGTTGGTGATGACTATGACCTTCCCCTCGGCCACGGCCTTCTCCATGGCCTTGCTGGCCGCCGCGTCCAGGGCCGCCATCTGCTGGCCCGCCTTCTTGAAAAACCCCTTCAGGGCCTTGCGAATCTCGCTCTCCTCACCACCGTGCTGCACACACCACAGAACACATCCATCCATCCCACCACACCCACCCCCCAGTGCAAACCCCTCCCCCATGGAGTGCAGACGGCAGATCTGCCCATTTCTCACCGAGAGCGGCCCCGTCATGATGGCCGTGGTGGCGAAGAGGGTGTCATCCCAGTCGAAAATGGTCAGCCGCGCCACTTGCCGCGCCACGGCGGTGTCAGCGACGGACTCGGCTGGGATGCTGCCTTCTTCGGCATTGGCTGGGCACGGCGGGGCAAGGTGCGCGTCGGCGGCCTTATCTTCAAAACTAGCAGCGCTCGGCATGGTCCTTTGCCGGGTGCGGACCGGGCGATGTCGATACGATGGCAATGGGTGGTGGGCGGGAAGCCTTCAGAAGGGCATGGGCTGACTATACACGATAGAGCGATGGACAGGCAGGCTCACAGAGAGGGCCCACACACGCAGAACACTCCACAAACTACCACAGATCTGAGACAATCTACTAGCTCGCATTTCTGACGACCGGACACTGTTGCTCTCTTAAGGTTCCCTCTGTTGCACCTTTAAGCTTTCTGGTCGTTCTTGCTACCTTTTCACACAGCATGCCCGTTCCCCCACCCCTCCCCCCTCGTGGCGCCAACGCGCCGTCTGTCTTGTCGCGCTGTGCGGCTGAGGGCACTGCAGCGGCCTTCTACCACTACCTTCACGGTTATTATCCGCCGCCCACGCCCTTCTCGGGAATGCCATAGCAAGTTGGAGCGCCAAGCGCCTCGGCGAATGTAGCTATTGTGGCGGGCCGCAAGGTCTGGGAGGGCGGCAGTGGCGATGCATGTCAGGCTCAAGTGAGCGCCCCGGCTCATGTGTGTTCGACTGCGACCATGGACGACACGAAAATGGACGGTACGTTGAGCGAGGATGAAGGAAAGGGTCCGAGGAGGCCAGGAGTCTCATCCATATGAAACACGTATACATTTCGTTGTGTGCATTTCGCTTTTTGTGGATGGATGCAGTTGACATGGGCCACCTGTCTGTGCAGAAGGCATCTGCAGACTGGGAGGAAGAGAGAGAGGCCGCCGAGGAGCTGAGTGCATCGAAAGGAAAGGCCAAAAGGACCCGCTCGAAGAAGAAGAGCGGTAACAATAGAGGGCAAGGGGCGAGCGACCTCCAGCCATTGCATTGGATGCATCCATCGGTCATGTGTGTCACGTGTGTGCAGATGGAACAGAGGAGTGGAGGCCGGGCTGTGAGACCAAGGACAAAAACAAAAGCCGCCGTGGCCAAAAGCGAAAACATCCAACTGATGAGAATGGTCAGTAGGCAGCAAAGAGACACGCTCATATGAACCAAAGAGCCGCACCTCAGACCCGTGGCTGTATATATTATTATTATTGGTCTGTTATTATTTATTATTGGTCTGCTCTCCTTGTGTTTGTGGACTCGTGCAGAGTTGGAGGATGTCACGCTGGACGATGGCAGAGCCCTGCGGCTCTCCAGGCGGATGCGTCGCAGACCCCAAGACAGAGAGGCCTCCACCACATCGCACACCGACAGCCGCCCCCCGCCGCCCTCCCGCAAACAGCCCCCGGCCCCCAAAAAAGCCAAAGCCAAGGCCAAGCCGAAACCAAAGGCCAAAGCCAAGAAGAAGCTGCCAAAGGAGGAGAAGGAGGAAGACGCGGCGCCGACACGGCGCGAGGACGCGGGGATGATGAACTTCAACCGCACGAGCTTCTTCTTCTACAACTCACGGAGGGAGAGGGCGGACGATACGGCACACCACGGTGAGTGAATGGATTGCCGGGTGAGATGGCCAAGGAGGAATTTCTTGACATGTGTGTGTGTGTGTGTGTGTTGATGTGTCAGCTTACTGGAGTGCTCGTTTCGGTGTTGACTCGGACTCAGACTCAGAGCCCGACGAGCTGGAGCATCAGCACAAGGAGGAGGCCCCTGGGTGCTCGTCTGAGTGGGGCCACGAGGTGGAGAGGCCGAGCAACACGGCCTGGACGGAGGCAGAGGTTTGCCGCGATGCAGAGGATGGGATGATCGACTGCAGCGACAGCAGCCTGATACTGTCGACGATGGGCGGTATGGGCTTGGGTATGGGGTGCGGCCTGCCGGGGGATGAGGATGGAGATAATGACCTGCCCCCCACGTGGTGGGAGCAGGGGATTGGCATATCGATGCCCGAGGAGCTGCCTGGAGACAGCGAGGCCATCTGGCCCGACCCCTTGTTCATGGCCGAGTGACAAGACACACACAGAGACACACACAGATAGATAGAGACACACGGACGGAACATCCCATTGGTGCCACCAAGTGCCAAACACGGAGCTCTAGCCAGTAGATAGATAGCAGCGGACGGAGAGAGAGACGGACCAAGGGGACGGAGGGGTCGTGTGGGGTGCAGTGCGGTGTGGTTCGTGGCTGCATGCGACTGATATGCGTGTTGGTTCATGGCTGACGGCTGCTGGGTGATGCTCTGCTCGATGGACCGATGCGATTGGCGTTTTCTGAATTTCGAATTTTTTCTGTCAAACAATATGTTGTCCACATAGCATAAGAAGAGGAGGCTTTGTGTGTGCGTGTGTACCGTACGGATGCGTTGACATACATACAACGACAACCAGATTCGATACAACTGACTGACAGAAAGAGGAAATGTCTCATTGCCTACATCTGCCCACTCAGGGCTGCCCGCCTTGTCCGTCCCGTCACACCACTTGTGTGTCTGTCAGTCACCCATCACCAGCAACCCCCGGCACCAACCATTGACCACCATTGCCCGCTCCCCCCCC